ATGTATGTATGTATGTATGTATGTATGTATGTCTCAAGCAATTTCAACCAAACTTGGTACATAGATTACTTACCCTCTGGAAACAAATACTGTGGAGGGTAAGACACCCCTAATCAGGGTGTGTTTTTTGTTAAGATATAGCCTGTTGTGCCTTAAAATGGCTTCTACTGTACAGTGCTGTGGAGTTGCCGTGGTAATGGCTTCACAGTACTCCACAAGGGGGCTCCCTCTGGTAAGAGGGGAATATCCAACATTAGAAATTGCAGTGAAGTTCATGGAAGGAGGGTTGGGATAAATACATACCTGGACAGCCCTGGGTTATCATCTAGTATAACAAATAAATCGGTTACCCATTTTACTACTTGCACAAGTTGTCTGAATCACTGGTTGGCTGAAGAAGACAGAGAAGAGCATCTTTTAATTCAAAAGAATTAAAGAATTATTTGAAGAGTTATTGGCAGTGATAATATCTTTATCATCCTTTTCTCATTACCTTGGTCTCTTGACCATGGAGTCTATCTGCTTGACATTTATCTTTGAACAGAATTAAGTTGGGCAGCTCCAAATAGCTCCTTTCTGCTCCTTCCACTTGGATTCTTAACTCCAGTTACCTCTTTGCTTATGAAAACCTAAGTATTGTGTTTTCACTTGTGGCTATATTCGTTCTGACAACTTAAGAGCTCCCAATTCCTGCTTCGGTTTTCCTCTTCAATAGTGAATTAATTGTTTTTGCCACATTACCGTAAAAGGATTCCCCCCCCCCCAGCTGCCACTGTCCAGCTGTGGATTGTTCAAGTCTGTTTTCTGGAGAAGAAAACGTCATTTGAGTTCATTGATGTAATTAAAAATAGAGAGGAAGGAGGCAGGAGGGGGGATGTTGATTCACACAATTAGGGATTGAAGTAGTTGGCAGAGTAGCTTTTGTAGTAATTAATGAATGGCCAGTCCAGTTTGGGCATGGAGGGTGGTGACTGCAATGGGGTACAAGAAAGGAGGAGAAGCGAGGCCTGGATCCACCAATAAAACACTGCTGGTTTTGAAAATAGGAAGGAAGAGGAATTTGAGTTGGTGCACGCTGTATAATCCTCGTTCGGCTTCATTTGGTACAATCCTAATATTTCAGCCTCTTCCCTTTTTGCTCAAAATGTTTTGAAAGGACAGCATTCCCCATCTTGACTGGTTTTGATAGCTTTCTCTGTGAAGCGACGTTTAACCAATGTAGTTAGTGAAAATGAAATGAAGGTAGCTTTTGTCTTGTCTCTTTCTTTGAACCTGGCCTCCAGTGGGCTCTTCCGAGGACTTGTGCAGTCCCTGAACTCAGAAAATGTTGCACACCCATGAAGAAGATGCTTGTAGCCAGAGATGGAAGGACATGAAAAAAGTAGAATGGAAATGTCTTAATTTAGGTCAATTTCTCTCCCCTCCCCCACCGCAGGTCACGACTGTTGTGAAACCGTGAAAGTCTCTCTCTGTGCCACCAAGCAAGGTCACCCACTTCTGGTGGTGGCGGAAGACAGCTTGCAGTTCGTCCAGGATGAAGCTTATGACGCGGCGCAATTCCTGGCATCATGCGCTGGAAACCAGCAAGCGTTAAACTTTACACGTTTCCTGGACCGTTCCAGGCCACCCGCCGGGGACTTAGATTTTCTGGATGAGAAAGTAACTTTGGCGTTTCGTCACCTGAAGCTGCCGACCGAGTGGAACGTGTTGGGAACGGACCACAGTCTCAATGGTAAGATCTGGTAACGCTTTGTGCGTGCTGCAGATTGGATTGTTATGGTGATAATCAAACTTAGGGGCCGGTTCCCCTCGTCGTAATTTAGGCAGACCGGACTGAGTTCTCCCTGCAAAATACAGCTGTTGAATCTTGTTTTCCATAAACCTGATTTATTCTATCAGTACGCTGTTTGTCTGTGCAGATTAGCTTTCTCAGCAATTTGCATTTGTGCCACACCACATAAATGAAATCTCAGTCAAATGATTCTCTTGTTGTTAGTTTTGGTAGATGTTAACTGCAGCATTTTTACCCTGGGAGTTAAGCAAAATGACTGTCAGGACAGTTGAAGTGTCACGAATGAGAACAAGATAGTTCCTTCCTAAAAAAGAGAGGGGGGGGGAGAGAGAAAGACAGCGCTAACTTTTGGGTATAAAAACCTTAAATTAATGGTTCTTCTTTCGACTATGGAAATTCTGAGTCTCCAGGTCATGTTTGGTCCCAAAGATGCTTTTTCAAAAGGCAACTGGACTTCCTCAGTTTTTCCTTGAAGACGTTTCACTTCTAATCCAAGAAGCAGCTGCAGTTCCAATCCCCACTATTCAGTCAGAACTGAAGAAGCTTCTTGGAGAAGAGGCAAAACATCTTCAAGGAAAAACTGAGGAAGTCCAGTTGCCTTTTGAAAAAGCATCTT